TACTTCAACAGATATAAGAACATGGAAAGGGAAGAAAAAGAAAAAAGGATATTTTTACTTTACATATGCAGATTCAATGCAGCAAATATTACATAGCAAAACTATAAATTGTTTATCTTACTGTTTATAGGATGATTGATTTATTGTCTATGTTATGAATGTTTTACCATAGTTATTTTTTAGGGGAAATTTTTTAAAGAATAGTTTAGACATTGGGCTGCTGACCAAAAACAAAACTTTCTTGCTCAAATATCTGAAATAGATTCAGTTTTTGCTGAAAAAATAAATCAAGAAATTCAAAATGGTGTAGTTGTTCATTAATCTCACCAATTTAATTTCACAATTAATTTTTATTTTTAAATTCATTCCAAATACATATATATTATGCACAGAATATTATATAAATCGATTTCTGACTCTTTAAGTTGTTTTTGTAATAACTTGGACTTGGTGATATACGATAATAGTATTTAATGTGATATTTTTGTAGCTGATATTTATAATAAATAGAGTTTATAGTGTTTATAAATTCATAAATGTATATTTATATCTAATTATCATAAGAAAAACGGCAACTATCTTTTAAATTTAGTGTATACTTGTTAAAAAGCATTTTCATTTTGTTTTCATCACAATAAAAGAACATTAATAATGTTGTGTTTTACTTTGATTATATTGATACAGTTGGTTTTGTTCTTCCTGTTGTAGATCGTCACAAGAAAACTGCAAAATTATAATAGAATGTAACATAATAGATTGAATTAGTTGATTATCTCACAGAAATCCAGTATTTTTTAGTAAATTTTATTTATTGATACCAAATGGGACAAACTCACTGTCAAAATTAAACAAGAATCCAGCATTAAAGAAATTGCAAGTACACATTTATACAAATTTATTGTTTTGCATTTTAGTGCTTCAAATAGATCCTTAAGATATTGATACATAAGTTAAATCTATCTAATGAGGTAACTGATTACCATGTATGAAAAGTAGGACCACACCTATATTTGAACCATAATTTATTTTGTGATATGAAACATGAAAAAGTCAATTCTAAAGCAGTGCATGAGAAGGAATATGTTAAACAAACTGGCTGAAGCAATTCAGGAGATTGGATTATTAAGCTTAAAAATAATGATCAAAGTCAAAGTTAATTCTTCTGGTAAGAAAAAAAACCTAGATTCAAGAAATTAATCACACCAGAATAAGAATATGGTCTACGCAGTTTAAAAGAACAATATTTCAGAAATCTTTAAACTCTCTCTAACTTTTTGATACATGCATTTGCATAGCTTTGTTGCATATAAGATCTATTTGCAAATTAAAAGACAAATTTCTGAGAAAAACCATACTTAGATCTGTAACATTATTGTATTGTATTATAACAAAATATCCTCTAAATTAAGTACCATCGACTCAAAAGATCTATAAAACTGGATATAATATGTATGGGACCAAATGTGAAAAACGTCCTTTTTTATTGTAATAATTGTAATATATATTGGAAGTGAATTAAAAAAAATATTATTCAAAGATAAAGTTAGGTTAGAATTGACGTTGTCCGATATTGATTACTCGATTACCGCAAGGCCGAGATATACAACAAAAAAAGAAGATGTATTTGGTGACTTTTCTAGTAACTTTCTTGGGTGTGAATCTATCTTTTTGGTTTACTCCTCCTGGTTAAAAAACAGAGTATAGTATAAATTACATGTATTAAATAAAAAAGTATTTATTTATATGAATACATCCATAAAAAAAGTTAATCCTAAATAATTCCCCAAATTGCGTTAACTCGTCTCCCAGACCGAGTATACCACTTACGTAGTTATTTATATGTATACCACTTAAGGGTTAATTATGATATATGAAATAACACGCAGAGTTTAAGCAAAAATTGAAGATTTTTACGATAAAGTTCAAAACGAACTACTGACGTGCATCAACCAATACAAATGGCGGTAGGTAAGCATTCTAATTGTCATCAATTTGATGCATGGAGTTGGCAATTTTTTTGTGACGGCTTTTATTGAGAAACGGTAAATGCTGCGATGGGTATTTTTTGGCTAAAGATATGGTATCGTTTGTGCCAGATGGCGCAAAAAGCCATATTTGAAAAAAATTAAGTTAGGCACTATGCGAATTACACTAACGAAATGTGTCTAACACTATTATATTCTTCTGGGGAATTTGCTACTGAGTTTTGGATAAAACGCGTATTTGATGTTCAATTAATTTAATATATATTAATAGTCGTTTTCTTTTAACGATCCAGTTTCACCTGAATAAAAGTTTTCACATACACGAGATATTTTATAAATACAACACTTTGTTCGTTCATGACCTTTGTTGGATTTAGGTAGTTTGTTATAAAATACTTTTAATTATAACTGTGGCTTATTTTCATTAAATATAGCAATTAATGTAAATCCACAATCACTATCTAGAAGGAAACATATCGCAGTTATTTTTTATTCGGTTACTACTTCTTGTAATACCATTTAAACAATGGTAATGCTATTAATAATTCTCTAAAAGCCAATCCTCATCAGTCGTCACTCAATAAATTATTTTAAAACAGTCGAGAAGATGATAATTCCCGTAACTATAATTAACGTGTTTGCCTTAGTTAATTGGTACGCGGAATTACTTTAATTAGCGAATTCATCGGCACTGGACCTTCATCGGCGGCCGATCTGCACATCAAAAACGTAAAAAACCACCGCGACTTACTGACTGCACGAGAGCTGCCATCCTAGCGATAAAAAATTGCGTCAAAGTACAGTAAATGTTTTGTCCGCCGGTATTATTTTTGTATTTTGATTTTTAGAATTTTTATCTCATGTATATAAAGTGAAGATCAAATAAGATATTTATAGATATACGTGTTCTTTGTTTCTTCTATAAGATACGACTACCTGAAAGGAAACAGAAAGATGCTCGGTTTGCTTTGAATGCACTTACGCACGCATAACTGTCTTATATCTCAATCAAGATGTACACTTTTGTCATAGATTTCGGAAAGATATCTTAGTAAACTCTGACGTTATAAAAAAATATCTCATGATATTTTCTTATTTTTCTCATTTACTTACCTTTCCAGGCGTCGGATTAGGATCGTGATTTCTCCTTTACCCACTCTCTCGTTGCCTGTTTTCCTACATCCTTTATTAGTCCAGTCTTTAGAGAGTTGACCCCCTACAAATCATAAAACAAGCTGAATTTTGCAGAAAATTTTTTACGATTCTCGTGAGATCAATAAAATTGATCACTTTCATTGACAAGTTGTAGTTAAATTTCCTTTTTTAGAGGTCAATCTTTAAATTGAAATATTAATGAAAAATGCAGAATTTATTGTTTTACATTATAAACGATCACACGTCACGGAAAATGCATTTAAAAAGACGGTTTTGGGTGTAGTTTATTGCAGAAGTTATGTTCCTTTAAAAAACATACTAATTAGGCTCTAGTAATCGAAACTTCATAGTAACCAGTCAATTAATGGGATATATTGTCTTGATTTTATGAGAATTATAAAAAATGGCAAAAATCATCGCGCTACGTTTATTTATTTAACGCCTGTATAAAATCTGAGTTTATTTACGACCAAATACGAAAACTGCATACGAAAGCTGAACTCTTTACCTCTTGATCGCATCTTGATTTTTGTCGATAGGTCACTTGAATCAAAAGATATCGAATTTTTACCGTCTAGTTGATACAAATTTTACTGAACATTGATTTCGCGCGCGTACTGACGTTCAAAATCGACGGTCGCTTCAAGCGTTGTTTCCAAGAGAACGGTTTCCTACACAAAAAATGCTAATAAACGTTTTTATTTAAAATTATCTCAGCTACATTTTTTATTTTAAACATTTTTTCTACGGTGTACAGATTCTTGGTAAATTGATTTTTCTGTGCTTTTACGGAGTAAAAGTGGTAAAATTTTTTTGCATCTTTTTTGGGGTCCCAAAATTAATATGCTCGGCAAAATTCGATTCCAGTCGATTAAAATCGACTCCGTTCGATCCCAATCGATTTTAATCGATTTAATTCTTTCCCATTCGATTCTAACCGATTCCAATCGATTACAGTAGACTCCATTCGATTACAATCGACTACGTTCGACCCAATCGATTCGAGTCGATTCCATATGATTACAACCGACTACAATCGTTACAATTGACTATAATCGATTACAATCGATTTATTCGAGTAAAATCGATTACAATGGATTTCAATTTATTCCAGTCGGTTCCAAACAGATTCCATTCAATTTCAATCGATTCTAATCGATTCCAGCTGATTCCAATCGATTTTAATTGATTACAATCGATTAAAATCTATTCCATTCGATTCCAAGCGATTCCAGTCAATTACAATCCGCTCCTTTCGATTACAATCGACTCCATTCGACTTCAATCGATTTCAATCGAATCAAATTGATTACAATATATTCCAATTAATTGCAACCGATTCCAATCGATTTCAATCCATTACAATCCATTTCATTCGATTTGATTAGTTTCGATTCAATTTTATTTAATTTTCATGATGATCTCTCGTTTCATTGTGTTTCAGTGCGGTTCATTGCATTAATTTCATTTTTTCACACCTCTAAGCGATCCACTTCACCGATCACTGCATTTAATAGCGCGCGATAAGAAATCTATGCTTCCAAAAATTGTTTTTTTTTTAAATTTTGCAACAGAAATTTTAAAAACATCGATGTGTACCCAAGATGGGTACCCAGATCAGTATTTGACAACTCCCACACCTCAAAAGAAGTCAATCTCAAGGACTATGGGGAAGGTAAAAATTCGCTGAATAAAAGTAGAAAGAACATTAGAAGAACCAAAAACAAAAAATGTTAAATATTCGTGTACATATAGAGCGTTAGTTTGCTATTTGAAAAAACTGGCGTTGAAAAATAGTACTTATAATCGTGATTGGTATTTTACAAAAAACTATCATTAATCTAAATTTTTCTGTTTCAGATCTACCAATGAATGCAAACTCTAAAACATTAATTACTTTCGGAATTAGATAAGTGCAGATATGAGGATAAGAAATTAAACATTAAAAATAAAAGCGAAGCAAATCCACCATGACGATATCGAACAGAATATGCAGAAGAATGTCACCCAGGTGAGTTTTGCTTGTCGTAAGTTAAAATTATATTAATCATATTCGGTTTGCTCGAATGACGGTATCACAGGCGTGCTGTTGTAAATTATTGATCAGTCAGATTTCTCCAGTCCTGTGAGGCCTTTATTCTTAAAAGATTCTATGAAGAACAAATAGTAATGGATCAGATTAGTTTGTATTTGTTATTTTTTTCTTTCGTATTTCTGTACTTAATATTTCGTTTATTTTGGTGTTTAATTCGGGCCATCTTTTGTTTATATATGTAGGTTCACTATTAATAGTCAGATCGGATATATTTTCATGATGATCAAATGTTTCTCTTATTTTAACCGGTTGTAATGCTTCTAGAATTCATTTATTAGATTTATTTATTAGAATTAATTCTTTGCTAAGAACATCGTCTATGATTTTCGCTGTTCCCGGATGGATGTCACCAGGTTGCTTTATGTGTTCTACTTCTTATTCGGTACTTAATTTGGCAAATAAATATTTTACATTTTATCTGTGAGATAAGTTTATTCGTGTCAGTTAGTAGTTCAGATTTCTTTCCTAGTTGGCGCTAGGTGTTTAAATCTAAAGTAACATAAAGCTTTACATTATTTTTTTTTATTAAATCTTATCTTAAAATTAAAGCAACCAATATTTTTGTCAATTTTGCGAAAAAAATTAATCGTATTGTTAATTATTATTGTTAATTAATGTTATTAGTATTATTAATTAAACTTATCGCTTCAAGAACAAAAAATGATTGACTCAGTAGATTGAAATGTCAGTTGGTAGTTCAAATTTCTTTCCTAGGTGGCGTAGGTACCCTACCGGATAAACATTGTGAGTTGTCCTAGTTCTTTATATATATAGATAACTATGTACGATTAAAAAAGCAAAATGATCAAAAACAGGTTTTTACAGCAGATTTACAGTTCTAAGCGACGAATACCATGTTAAGGTTGCCACGAGTTGACAGATTCTGTGACCGTTATCATTTGTTTTTCGTGTATAGTTACTTTTCCACTTCCAACTATATCTTTCATGTATTGGTCCTCCCCAGTTATGCGTTTGCATCTCAGTCTCATTGGCATTTTGTTTTTAGTATTTCGTCATTTTTGTCATTTTACATACTGTTGTGCATATGTGTTAAACATACTGTATAGAAATTAGCAATGAATAATGCCATTGTCAATATATGATTTGTTTTATTTCAGATGTTTCGCTTTGTCGGCAATAGGCCTAACAGTTTTACTATGCGTATATTACACCAGCTACACATCAGATGTAAATCAGAGGGTGGATCAGAGTCAACGAGCCGAAATTTCAGGGAGTAGACAAACACAAAGGTTCTTTAGAAACATTATCAGAAACACAGAACGCTACGGTCAAGACAAGTCGTTTGAAGTTTGCCCAAAGTTAACTGCTGCAGAAGCCGATGTCAACACCGTAGAAGTGTATAAAGACTTTGAGTTTCAGGTAAGTTACTTAATATTTTTGCGAGTGGTTTTAAAAAGTTCTTATACATTTATTTATGGAAAAATTACTTTTGGAATGTATACGTTAAGGTTAAAACGCGAATATCCGATAATACTATAATTACCCGGATAGAGTCAGAATTATAGGCAATAAAAGAAAAAAGTTATCTTTGCGCCATTCGGAAAAAATATTGATGAAGGCGGTTAGCCTCGACATTGACAAAAAGGGGTGGTCTGTTAAAATGAATTGCTAGTGGGACTGTAAATATATGAAAAAAAAAATGGGTCTCTTAATGGGTCTAAATTAATTAAAAACGGATAATAATCAACATTAGTTCTTTTTATAAGTTCGTCAAAACTAATTTGAAAAAAGGAGTGGTATTCATTCATATGGGACTATTTTACCACTTTACTTTAATTGTGATCAAAACAAATTAAATCTTGATGGTTTATGTGAGATTAATAATTGAATAAAGTAATTACTATTTAACTGGGAATAAATCAAAATTAAAGATAAAAATACGTTTATTGACGTTTCAATTTCCACTTCGGAAATCGTTCTCAAAATACAAACAGTAAATTAAACAAACTTTGTTTTTTTGTTACTTAGTGAAAAATTCTTCTAATATTTTAATTTTATCTGACTCATTTATATTGACAATTCAGACATACATTATGCATTTTAAAGTAGACGACTTTAAAATGATATTGCCAATATAGTTGAGTTGCGCTCCTCGGACGACTTTACTTATAAGATAGTTCATTCGATTACATGAAATCAACTTTAACTTGAGAATATTCGTCAGAAAAAAATCATTGCATGTAATTCGTCTTTAAAAAGACAAACACATGCCATGATGTCAGTAAATTTCTCCTGTTAGTGATTCCATAGTAAATTATGAGGGAAAAAACCAGGAACAAAACCTCATAATACTATCCCGACATGGTAAGTACTTGGTCGTGCATTTAGTTTACCTTCAATAAACACCAAACTCTGATTTTATATGCTTGTTATTTAAAAAACATAAATGATGTATCCTCTATATGTTACTGACTTACTAATACTGGTATTTTCTTATTAATAACTTCCTCTTTCAATATTGGTAAACCAGATCCTACTACATTCTGCCGAGGAATTTGCGACACAATTAGGCTAAATAAGACCAATATAATATGTAACATTTAACACATATGTTAAATGTTATGTATAATATGTTATAACATATTATAAGTGTAGATAAAGTAACACATTTTTGCGTCATAAACCTAGGTACAACCAACTAACTGTTCCTACCAGTGTAATATCGTTTATAGCAACCTGTTCATTATAACCGATAGAACCGCTTACAGAGAACACTGGCTACAACGTACAAAAAACCACGTCCATGGGACGGTGCAAGTTCGGAATAGCGACACCTGGTGTCGTAAATCAGCAAAATTTACTGCGCTTTCATGTTAGATCGAGGTTACCGGATAACTGTCAAGGACGTAGTCCAAAAAAAGAATAAGAAGAAAAACTAAGATTGAGGTTATGTCGGTATGTTATTAAAGGTAAACGTTGTATGTATTGTAAATACAAATAAATATATTATTAATAACTTTTCAACCAAGCACTGAGTCAAAGGGAAAAGCTTTAGTAGTGGCAAATGTCAAAAACGAATGGAAGAATTAAGAAAAATAAATTACCATATATAATGCTAATGCATAAATTAGCAGGTTAAGCCCATGATATAATCATATTGGTTTGAAAAATAAATTCTTTCCCTGTAAACTTTTGGACAGCGAATATAATATATTTTAATGCATCTTCAGAAATATTGAACTTGATGCATTTTTGTAAACTTAAAAAAAAAATAAAATTTAAAATAAAATAAAATTTAAACATTAAACTTGATTTTTGGATTAAAATGAACTTAAAATACCAAAAATGTTTAATAAATACTTAAGTAAAATCTTAAATAAAAAAAAATTTTATTCGATATGAATTTTTACTGCATCATTTTCCAAAATTAATATATTTTTAAAAACCATATGGCCGTATGTGCTAAAATACCTATTTCCTGAAGGAAAATTTATATACTCCTTACTGCATAAAAATATGCAAAATTAAAGACAATTATGCTAAATACCAGGTTTGTAGCTGAATTTTTAGAGTTACAGTAAATAATATTAACTTGCTGCCCTATGGTTTTCAAGGTGCGATATTATAGGTATTGTGACTCTTTTTGACATAATTTAGAATCCGTACATTTTGAAATTAAATTGTTTTCATACGTTTTTTATTATCAACAGTTCAAAAGCTTTTTAATGAGTGGTAAAATCGACGTGTCCGCTTATTTTGCTATGTTCTAAAAATAGTTAAGTCAATAGAAACTTACTCCAGCGCACTGTAGAATTTCTGTCTGTTTTGTTTACACGGATACTGACAACTTGAAGATATCATAAATTACCGTTGTGAACTTTAAGTCATGTACGAGACCTCTGTAAAATCATATATAACTTTTAATTTTGAGGTTTTATTTATAACCCTCTATATTAACGAATTACGCCACGTAATAAATTATCCTGACTCACATTTCCCCTTCACAGCCCATTAATACAATACTTTTCTCATATTTCTCGAGAACCCAATAAATATATCGGTATTTCCGTTTGAAAACACCATTTAATTTGTCAAGTGAGAGTGTGAAGACGATGACTAGATCGGCGAAGTCGTAATGACTTTCTCCTTATTGATCTTCGGGGACGCCGAGGACGTGATACGAGATAGGACGGATGTAATTTCCAACTTTTTATGGCCTCCACTTATTTAATTACACCTGGACCCTATCTCTAGAAAAAGGGATCTAATAGATTTTTGTTTGTAACACTGTTTCTCTTTGTCGAAATTCCCTAGGAAGGTCAGATTAGTATCTTGACATTGACCGGACTGAAAAGCTGTCCTGAATTTTTCTGCATTGTGCGGCAATCAGTTTATGGGCTTTCGTGTTATATTTTATTAGAAATAAAATTTGGGTATAGACAGATTATTGCCACCCTTTTATAAAAGTCTTAAACCCACTGTAATATTCATTAGAACAAACTTGTGGAAGCTTCGCACCTACCGTTAGTAGTCCGGTCAATATAGACATTTACAATAACACAAATTCCCGGAAAGCCAAATATTGGTGGAAAGCTGAGTGTTTTGTGTAAAACTCAAGAGGTCGCTGGTTAAATGATATTAGAATAATAATGGAGAAAAAATACAATATTTTGACTGTAAATAAAAGTAACGAAAATAGCAAATATTCAATTGTAAATAAATTAAGAGCATTAACTAGCTTTAACTCATTACTGCTATATGTACAAAGAACATAGACACGCCTTTTGAAATATTGATGTATTCGTAGTCAGTGGATTAGCGTTGGTACCACGTCACGAAGTTAAGGGACGCCCGGCGCAGAGGCTCGATAGGACGAGAACCGATACACTCGATGTTTAAGTACGATGTCTCGTAATGAAGTGTCTTTTAGATGGTTAGAAAGAACCCTCTGACCGTTAGGTGGTTCATGGGAGAAGTGCGTCCCATAAACCAACCCTATTGTAGGGCGCTTCTGAATAGCGACAATCCAATTCAATGGTCACAGTAATACGATACTTTACACGTTTTGTGTGTGTTTGCTGACACAAAATTAACAAAGGAGAAAGTCAAATTCTCTGAACTTAAAATAGAATAAATAAGCTAGCCAGTTTAACAATGCGATTTTACTGAATAACACGAAACAATATATTTTAAAGCAAATAAGTTAGTATATACCGTTAAATTAGATTAAATTATAGTTCAGTAAAGGAAGTAAAAAAAATACTTTCCCAAACACTGGGGTTTACCATTACAAATAAAGTTTAAAAAATTCCCATCAATCGTATGTGTACTACAAATGTTATTCAAGGTCAAAGGTCAAAATTTTAGGTTTTTTGGATTTTTCTCAAAAACGGTAAAAGTTATTCGAGGTCAAAGGTCAAAATTTTAGGTTTTTTGGATTTTTCTCAAAAACGGAAAGTTTTATCAAAAAAACCTTAAGCCAAAGTTGTAGATCTTAAAATTCTCTACAATAATTGTTTTTATGATTTTTTTTAAGAGTTACCATTCCTGAGATGTCGCGATTCTAAGAGTAACATTATACATGATATGGACAAATTTCCACGCCACTTGTGAGGTAGTGTACTCAGCGCGTTTTATTGACCGTGATTTCCCTTGTATGCCTACCTCACTAACTGTCCATGACAATTTTAGGATAATTCAAGGGAACAGTACCCATCAAGTTCTAAATATTACCTTATTATTGATATTGATTATTGATTCTTCTTCTTAGAGTGCCGTCTCCCTACGGAGGTTGGCAATCATAATGGCTATTTTTATTTTAGAACTTGCTGCTCTAAACAAATCAATCGATCTGCATTGGTACCAATCACGTAGATTCTTTAACCATGAGTTCTGCCTTCGGCCAACAGATCTTCTTCCTTGAATCTTTCCCTGTATTATCAGTCTCAAAATTTCATATTTTGGTCCCCTCATCACGTGGCCTAGGTATTCCAGTTTTCTGGTTTGTATAGTGGTGATTAGTTCTGTTTCTTTACCAACCATCTCCAGTACTTCTTTATTTGTAATTCTATGAGTCCATGATATTTTCAATAATCTGCGGTATAACCAGAGTTCGAAGGCCTCGATTCTTTTTAAATTACATTTTTTTAATGTCCAAGTCTCAGCTCCATATAATAATATTGAAAATATATAACAGCGAATGGTACGTAGTCTGATCTCCAAATTTAGATTTTTGCACGTTAGGAGTGGCTTCATTCGTATAAATGCTGATCTGGCAATCTCTATTCGTCTGTTTATTTCTACAGTATGATCATTGGTTTCATTGATCAAAGTTCCCAAATACTGATATTTTTCTACTTGTTCTATCACGTTACCATTTATTGTCAATAGGTGATGTATATTTTGTGGCCTTTTTGTAA